GGCTGAGCCCGGGAGGGGTGGAGTGGGAGTGATGAGAGGGAGCCGGTGCCAAGTTCGCAGCCTCGGCCGTTAAGTTTGGAGCTGTCAGCACGAGCCGCAGTTACTGTAAGGAGGAAGGATCTGCTCTTTGGTCGGAGAGTTTTAAGTGTTCACGGAAGGCATGTCTTTGCACGGGAGACATTTTCCCTCGGATTCCGGGAGATTACAAAACAGCTCCCCGTACGCCACACTCCCTCGCGCGCCCTCGCACCCAGATTTCTGTGCAGCCCCCAAGTGGGCTCGGGGCTCGCGGGGACGCGGGTATCCCCGCGGGAGCGAAACCGACCCCGAGTTCCTTTAGTAGCAGCGCTCCGCGGGGCAAGGAACCTGGCTGGCCCGCCGCGGAAACTTGGTTCCCCGCAGCCTTTGCGGGGTTTGCAGCCTTGGGGGAGCTCTCCAGAGAGCTCTCGATGAGGTGATACCTCCACATCGCACCCGCCTTCTTTCATTACAGAATAGAAAGTTTCTCTCTCTCTCTTTTTTTTTAAATGGGCACCTTTAATGATAGTTATTGAGGTAATTCGCAGTGCTGCTAAATGGTGCATTATACACTTAAACACTGGGTAAAGCACCGCCCAGGGCTACAATTAGATCCCGCAACCCCCTGAAGCAGATCTGTGGCTTGTCATTTAGAAAGGGCCCCCGCGTTGCTCCTAGCCACAGTTCTTTTCACCACTGCAGTTCTTACCTCTTCTCACTTCTTCCCGTTGGAATTGTGTGTCTGTCCCGGGTTGGGTAAGGCTGCCCTTTCACCCCCCAGAGGTTCTATCCGAGATTGCAATTCCTGAAATGTGTCGAAGGGGTACAAGTGTTGGGGGGAGAGGGAAATCGTCAGTTCAGAATGAAGGCATCACTGTGGGGAAAGTGCTGTATTAAAGGGTGCGCTTCGTATCATATTTTCAGTAGATGCCTAGGCTTAGGGGATGTACACATTCGGAAGGAATCAGGAAGAATCAAGGTCATCGCACCCGTGTGGAGAAGAGCAGGGGGAAGGGGCATTGCCTGGCAGAAAGGTGTGTAAGGTTTCTAGGGCAGAGGCCTAGGAGGAGAGGAAGGGAGTGCAGTTCCCTTCTTGCAAGCAGGTTGGTTTATAGGCAGAGCAGTGAAGGCCACATCTGGGGTCACCACAGTGTGCTGCGGAAATGCAAGTGTTAAAGGCTGGCAAGGAAGAGAGGTTACGATGTAATTACTTGATTTGTACAAGTTTTCTGCTTTGCAGGAATAATATATGCAAGAGCATAGAACCCATTCCCTGTTATAGTAGCATCTGCTCACATGAATGGCAGTGGTGAGATCTGGGTGGAGAAATCTCTATCTACCAGTTCAGAAAAAGAGCCTAAACCTTCCTATTTAAACAAGAGCACTGGAGACAGATCAGGTTAATGACCAACACTCCAAAGGAGGGCGACATACTATCATGTCACTTTGAGTGTCAGTAGGATTGATGATCCTTGCACCCTTGCTTTGCGAAACACATGTGAGCGCTGTAATCTTCCTTCTCGCTTTGATTAAATGGCTGTGTAAATCTGATTACATGGAATAATTCCATTGAAAACTAGAAAGAGGTCAATCTAGCCTGAAACGCCATGGTGTTAGTGACTTGGTGCTGCCGACCAGGGTCATTTGAGATAGCTAAATATTTTAGAAATGTGACCTGCTCAGACCAAGTTAAAGTGCAAGCCCTTTGGGGGAACTTGCTGATGTTAAAGGACTTGCAGGCATAGGAGGGCAGTGCCCTTGCTGAATGAAGGCATTCATTGCCTGGGATCTAATGACCTTCAAGGTCTCCTTTAAGGATACTTCTAGCAATTCCACATTCTTGCCACTGAAAAGGGGGACACTAGAAATAGTATGAAATCAATAACATAATCTGTGGAAATGAGGGGGAGAGGGATTAGATCCTTGTTAATATTGCTACATTTTCTAATCCAAAAGGTACAAGAAACTTCCTGTAACTCTGGATGGATGGAGAGTAGCATGAGGAAATCAAATATTAAGAAGTAAGATGAATTGCCCGCAAGGGTATCTACTAAATCAATAGTTTCAATGGTCATTTATAAAGATGGCTTCAATAGGAGAGTTCTATTTTAAGGTAAACAGTTTTTTGCTCTCTTAGTATATATTACCCAAGATATAAAATTAGAACTTAATAAAAGTAATAATAATAGTAAACTTTAATTGCAGTTATGCAGCTCTCCAAGAATCACGGGTGCACCAGATGTTCTGGCCTTTCAGTCAAGCTAAATAAGTGTGAAAATCCCATCAAGAAACAATTGAGATTCAGTAAATGATTCTTTCACTTATTTAGCATTTGTAATGGACTTTAGCATTAAAAGAAAATAATTACATAGACAATACCTATGAGGGGCAGTTATAACAAATTTAACCACAAGTCTACAGAAATGAATGCATTTTGCATTTTTCAGAGGTCTGATTGCATTTTATTTATATTATGTGGTTTTGAGTTTGAAGGAAATTGTGGCTTAGGTTCAGAAAGAACATCTATTTTGATCAATAATCATTTATTGTAATATAACACTCTGTATATTAAATAACAATTGGACAGTATATTTTTCAAGACCATTTTAAAAAGTGCCTATCACCTTAATGGGCCTGATGCCCGATTTATTGATAGATACTCACATTTTAGTTTTCAGATGGTTTGTGAGAGGTTTCCTTACTGCTATCAGTTTTAAAAATATTAAGAAAAAAATCCACCTTGCAAACAGTGTAAAAAAAAAAAAGGCCATTTTAGGCATACATTAGTTCTCAGAGAAACAAATAGACTACTTTTTAGCTTTTGTTGTTCCAAGAAGACATCCCTCTATTGTCTGTATGAGGATGATATTTGGGTGATAATGCAAGTTTGTAGAAAAAAAATTATGAAAAGAGCATTTTTTCATCTTATCCTTAGAGTCGCTCAGTTTGGAGTGTGTGCTTTGAGTAATTCTATTTCGTGTAGCTTTTAATGGATACATTCTGCCAGGATTTTAAAATTCAAGTGCTAAGTCAATTACATTTAACATAAAACAAGGAAATAACCATATGGAAATCTGAAGGCCTGTGCCAAACCAATTAAAATTGCTAAATTTTATTTGTGTCTAACTGCTGATTTGAACATAACAAATTGCGAGTCACATTTGTTCTTTAATGGTAGGCGATTGACATCTTTCCATCACCAGGGGGAAAAAAATCCCTACCCAAATGGCTGGTCTGAATATTGGAGGTCTTATGCATGGTCTGCACTCACGTGCCCTTCCCACCCATGGCTAGGGAGCGCCGCAGGTGGAGTGGACACACAATGGGTGTCACCTAGCTCTAGCGTTTGAAGACTTAGATTCCAATTCCTGTTTTACCACTGGTGAGATAAATGACCTTAGGCAAATGGTTCAACTTCTTGGGAATTGCATTTTGTAATCTGCATGATGGTTATAAAATAGTCATGAAGAGTTTTCTCAC